AAATAAAAATTTACCCTTTGTTGAAATATGTAAATCAAATCAGAACAGACAAATAGAGATCATAAAGATAGATATCACTAATGGAGTTCGTTCAGTTAGCTATTTTCATGTAAATTAGTTATGTAATTTCTTGTATATAAACATGTGCCTGTACTCCTTTTATTTCTATGGAAGAAATATATACTTTTCTCCTTCAATTCATTTATAAACATCAATTGTTCTTTTCATTGTATCAGAGCCAACCTGGGAATGAATAAATATATAAGATAATAATATATAATATTTACGTCATTTTACTCAAGATTATTTAAATAGATAAGAAACTTGTGGTGTACCAAACATTTATTGTGGTGGTGATATAACCAAGGAAATACATGGAAATGCCCATTGACCCGGCCATATTTCTAATAAAGCTTTTGACCATTAAAAAAAATAATAAAAGTTAAATTGTGAAGTGAAAGATCAAAAGCCAAAAATACCCTCACTTCATCTTGTGCAAATAGTGGAGAAGTAAAAGAAAAAACTCGGTCAAGATTCAGTTAACCACACCATCCTTATGGTCAACCCATCTCTGACCACCACACAACCCAGTCATCGACGAAGTTATCTTCAATAAGATTAGTTTTGTGATTAAGAAATTGATTTTTCAGACGGTAAAGATTCAATTTAACATCTATTTAGTTTATTGTTCATTGTTTAGATGGATATTTGAGTGTATACTAGATTTAAGTAATTTTTTTGGAGCGAAAATCGCCATTTCTCATCAAAAATGACGATTTTTCGACCAAAATAATGGAGAAGTCGACTGTTAAAAACAGTCGCCGAACTCGATTTTTAACAGTCAATTGGGCAAACCCAATTTTTTTTGGGCCGATTTTTATTTTTTCTTTTTTTTCTGTTTATGGTAATTTTATTTTTTTTTTTCAATTTTAAATAATATTCATATTCTTTATTTAATTTTTATAATTTCCTTTTGTTCAATTTTTTGTTTTATTATTATTTTTTTGTAATAGTTTTAAAATTTCTTAATTGTTTTCTTCATATTATAAATAATTTTTTTAATTTAAAATTCTTTTTAATTCTTTTCTTTATGATAAAATTTAATTTTTCAATTTTAATTAAATGATATTTATATTCTTTATTTAATTTTTATAATTTCCTCTTATTTAATTTCTTTTGTTTTTACTTTTTTTGTAATAATTTTAAATTTTCTTAAATGTTTTCTTCTTTTTATAATTTTTTTCATTTTAATTTTCTTATTATTCTTGCTTTAATTTTTATATTTTTAATTTATTTTTCCCTTTTATTTTAGTCTTTAATTTTTATTTATTTTAATTTATTATTGTGTTATTATTTTTTTAATTTTTGAACTATTTTCTATTTGTCATAATTTAATTTATTTTTCCAATTTAAAATGCTTTTTAATATTAAATCTTTAAATTTTATTATTTTTGTCATTTATTTCTTTAATTTTTATTTTTTATTTTTCTGTAATTCTCATTTTTGTTTTTTCCTTTAATTTATTAAATCATTTCTTTTTTAATTAGCATCGATGTATAATGAATATATTTCTTGAGTATAGTAATTACAATTTGGTTATCTTAAATTTCTAAAATTATGTTTTATTCCATTATTTCTTGTGGAATGTTCTAACATTTGAAATTTTGCAAGATGGAATACCATCTCGATGTTGAATTGAGACAGATGGCAAGAACATGGACTTTGAATAGTAGTTTTGACAGTTTTACTACGGTATTGGAGTTGCTCGATGATTAACATGCAGATACACAACGCCAATCCTTTCTGTGGCCCCTCTTTCCTCAACAGCCCTAGAACTCTTAGCTTCATTGATATTGGCGCCCCTTGTATCAGTAGAGAAAGTTGCAATATTCCAGACAAATCATTGACGTATTACTATGTCGACTACTTAGAGAAGTCGATGGCGATGCACTCCACTTCGACCTCGAGGGCAAGGTCGCTAATTTCTCTATATTTGAGTTTTCCATCATGACTGGACTGAAGATTATCGACAATGAAGCAGTGAGCGACAGTAGATAGGAGATGGTACTTCTATTGCAGTTCATTAGCACAATCAAGGAGTGCGACCATATGTTGGATGGATTGAAGTTGGATTGATCTATATCATTAAGAGCATGGTGAGGTGTCATTATAAAAAGACTGCAATTGACCTTTTTCCATTTGGAAGTTGTTGACGATACCGATGCCTTCAATAACTATCTATGACGGCGGAGATGCTTTTAGGACACTGGAAATATCTTCACGAGATTACATTCTAAGCTTAACAGGCCCTTGCATTACTACAATACTTATAAATTGCCTTTGGCAGTGCAAATAAATGTTTAACATAATTAAAATTAAAATATATTTATATTAAATTTATATACAATAATTGTATGTGTCGCGGTTGGGCATATGAGACTGTCCCCCTCTTGGGTACCCAATTTGCGAGGAGATGGGAGATGCGCTATCCTCATATGCATCATTGGTGAGCATCCCAAGCAGATAGTTGTCCATCTAATAGACAATTGCCAAATCTCCTCGATGACCCTCGGGTGAGCATTACACACTTGAGATTTATATTGTATTTTAAAATCTCATCACATGATCATTATTTAGTTGAAATGTCAATATGTCAACTTGAAATCCTAACTGAGTTGACGCTGTCGACGGAGGATGAAATGTTGGAGTTTTGTGCTTGAATTAGTTGTTTATCATACTGAAGACAACAAGATATTCGATTTCATCATAGACTGAGATTGTGTAGGTTAATTGAATGTAATTTGTTGATTATCATTTCATATAAGTGCTATTTTAATGAAGTTATTAGATTTTAATGTTATTATTTGTGTAGGAGTGGGGTTCAATTGATCGTTTGTCGAGGGAATCACCTTCGCAAATGGGATCTCTTTCTCACCATGCAGACACCTCCTTCGTGAATCTCCTAAACATAGTCAAAGTCGTTATTTCGATAATATGTAAATATGCCTAACTGATTTTGTCATAGAGGAGGTGGGCACTCTACAATGAGAGTTGTAAGAGAAGATAGGGATATGCTGTGACCATAGCAGAGAGGCGAGGTAGCAAATTTATGTCATGTTATTGTAGTGCTACGAGGCCATTTACTAGACCTTCATGATGAGCTCATAGCGCTATGAGGCGATAAAGTAAGTAGACGACAAGGTAATAAAGAAGGTGATGAAGAGGGTGACATAGAGGATGACGGACAAGGGAGTCACACAGGGCATGTCCCACTGTTGTGGACGGAGGAGTGTGCATTCGAATCATGAGAGGACGCCCGTCATGACAGAGTAAGTATGTTGTTGACGTACCAAAGTAATTAGTTGGCAAGAGGTCGAGATTGTCGTCATAGTAAGTCATTTATGCCTTCAATGCTGAGGTGAATAGGATAACGTTCATAGATGGGATGTACTCCAATCTCTTCCAAGATGTAGACCCTATCACCATTAGATCCAATCCACTGCTAACGAAAATGNCGTTCATAGATGGGATGTACTCCAATCTCTTCCAAGATGTAGACCCTATCACCATTAGATCCAATCCACTGCTAACGAAAATGACCACAACCACCACTATCAAATATCCAACCACGAACAACAATCTCCACTACCAACCACGAACATATTAACTATTTAAGAAATCACCACCATCACCACCAGCTTATCGTCACCGCCGCCGCACCACCATTGCCAATTGTAAACACCACCGACAAAATCACTACAAAAGCATATCCAAAATCAGAGCTGCAGGCTGTTGTTACAACAGCTACGCAGCGATGACCGTCGCAGCCCAAAGCCATGTGCAAAGCTACTTGTCGTTCCCTGCAAGCAAGCCCGGAGCAGTACCTTACCCCCAGTCCAATCCAGAGCAACAAGCTACTTCTTTGCACAGTGTCGCTATACTCAAGGCTATGTACGCAGTGTCGCTGTGAGCACAGCCAACGTAGAGCTTCATCGTGCAGTAGTGCCGCTGCGTTCTTAGGGCCATTTTTTGAGTGACGCTGCGCTAGTGGTCATGAGTCCATTGGCCGGCAGTGCTCTAGTAGTATTGTTTGATAGAGAGATTATAGAGTGGAAAGTGATATAGAGTGGGGAAGTGATTAAGGTTTGAGAAATTTGGTGAGGGTGGAAAGGGTAGGATGGGGTATATAAATTAATTTATTTATTATTATTATTATTAATTAAATATTACCCGATTTTTTATTAAATAAACTTTCCACTTGTTCTTTGAATTGTGATATTTAAAAATAGGGCCTAGTGTAATTTCCTCATTTTCAGATCTATTATCCACAATTAAGGTTGAGAGTGGGTTAGGTTGGTTTTCTGCCCAAACTCAATTAGCATGGCTGGTTTGATCTAAAATTAAACAAACACAATCCAATTATCTGTT